AGCTGTGCGTGAATTTAATGTTTACTAAAGTAAAAGAACTTTCTCGTTGTTACAATACGTTGCATTGTTCGGCGAACGAGACTCTTGCGTATTCGAGAAGAGTGTTGACCAATAGTAGCTATCTCATATGCTTTAACAATGTTTGACGTTTAGAACTGCTGTGGAAACTTTGTTGGGAGCGCCGCCAACCACCAATCTCTGTAACTATACGTTTGTGTGAAAGTAAAGTCTTTATGTGTACGTTCGTGTGAATGCGAAGAGTCTATGTGTGCGTTGTACACAGAGATGTTGATTCGTGCAAACGTTGCATCCAACGTCGCATCATGTTAGGCGGCTTTATTGATATACTTTGCTTCAATCGTCAAAAAAATACATGAAGTATTTCTCCGTTTTGGTGTTGACTCATGCAACCGAAAATACGCTATCCTGTGGCGAATGTATAAATACCGTGACGCATCGCACTGAGCATCAGTTGAATACAAAGCAAAGCATAGCAAAGCTAAAACCAAAACAAGCGAAAAGTGTTCTTAGAACGTTGACAACCAAAGCAAGCGATTTCAAGTGCATTTTGTGAACGAGAAAAAAATAGTCGAGTAAAAATGTCACTTTTGCCATATTTTGGTTCGGGTTATCATCCAAGAGATTTGTTGGTTTCTCTTGAAAGTTTGTTGGCTCACTCGCTATCAAGCACCGGCAATTATTTGCGATCGCAATCGTCGCATTTGGACGAGCTATTTGGACAGACGCATATTGGAAAGGACGGTTTCCAAGTCTGTCTCGACGTTCAACACTTCCAACCCAACGAGATCTCGGTGAAAACGGAAGACGATTCGATTGTGGTGAACGCCAAGCACGAAGAGAAAAAAGACGAACACGGTTACATTTCGCGAGAATTTACTCGTCGGTATGAACTACCAAAAGGATTCAAGGTGGAAGACGTAACATCAAGTCTCTCATCTGATGGCGTTCTCTCGATTAAGTGTCCACACGCTGCAGCCATTGAAGGATCCAACGTGCGCCAGATTCAAATCCAACAAACCGGCCCGGCTAAACAATGCATCAAGAGCAACGAGGACAAAAAGGATGAAAAATCAGAAGCAATTGAAAAATAAATGAATTTCATCTGAAAAAATCCTGCATTTCCAAAACAAACTCAAGTTCCTTACTCAGTGAAAAAATGTCTATAAGACCAAAAGCCATAATAAACCATAAAAAAACAATAGAAAACTAAAAAACTGTTTTGTTTTATTCCAAAATTGACTTTTACTGAATTGTAGGATTCTGATTGCGTGGAAGAGTTGACATGCTTCTCTCGTCAACTAATTGATGCTCGAATG